GGCTAACATCCATGCCCATCTTCCTCCACTTTATATGGGACGCCGCCACAGCATGGCTTGTCAAGCAGTGCATCAGTGCATGCCAGGATCCGAACTGGTGAACCCCGGGCCGGCTGCTGCAGTGGAGTGCGTGCACTTAACTGCTTGCGCCACTGGGCCAGCCCCATGCTGAACATATTCAAAATGACATCATGTGCATTGATATACTGGGGTACAGGGAAAAGAAATATATATCTTTCTAATGCCGAAGTTGTCCTTTCCTTCTTTGCTCCTCACAGGCAGCCCTGGAAGCATTAGATGAACTGGACCTATTTGGTGTGAAAGGTGGGCCCCAATCAGTTATCCATGTCCTGGCTGATGAAGTGCAACACTGCCAGGTAAGAGAATAATGGACCATGTTATAGAAAATTTATTCTAGGGGCCATCCCAGTGACGTAGTGGTTAAGTTTGCTCGTTCAGCTTCAGCAGCCTGGGGTTTGCCAGTTTGATTCCTGGGTGTGGCGGTGTCCCATATAGAAGAGCTACAACTCTACGACTATGATACACAACTATGTACTGGGGCTTTGGGGAGGAAGATTGGCAACAGATGTTAGCGCAGGGCCAATCTTCCTCAAAAAAAAAGACAAAAGAAAATTTATTCTTACTCAGACTCAGACTTACCATGGGCTTTAGAATAATGAGATCTGAATGAGATAGCCCTAATATAGCATGAGCTATAACATAGATCATAGTCCTGTTCTCTCACCCAGGAGTATAAAGGGATCCCACCGTAGTATGTGGAATTCTCCACTATTGTCATATCAAGGTCTGTGGGCTCTGCTCCTGAGTATCTCCTTTTCTAAATATACCAAGAGAACAATAGGTGATTGGTTTTTAGTGTTCTTCTTGATAGTGGCTCTGAAACATTCTGTGGTCCTCAGTTGGCTCTAGGGTTAGATGTTTGGAGATTAGACTGTTTAAGTGGTAAATGTGTGTCTTCAGTTTTGTTTAGGATTACTTTCTGTATTGAAAGATGAAGGTTCTTCTCATTGTCGGGATGACTTTTCTCCTCTTCTTCAAACCACAGACACCTACAGTGTTCTATTGAATATAAACTCACCTTTTAATTTTAAAAACAAAATTTTCCATGGGAAAGATAAATGTCAGGGTTATAGGAGCTGAGCTACATTTTCTCTTCTCTTTATGCTTAAATAGTTGCTAATGGAGTGACAGGATTGTGGGTGGGATCATGATGTTAGAGTAGTCTTTATCCACTAGTAGCTGCTTAAGAATCAGGATTGGGAAGCATTGAGAGCAGGATTAAGATAAGGGATGACTTACAGAAATATCTACTTTTCTAAGCTCTTACTGTTGAATAATGTTTAGATTTTATTCTGAATGAGCCTCTTCCACATAAATCTTTTGAAACTAAAGCTGTTAATTTTATAGTCTTGAGTTATTTACTAATGTGCCACATTTGACTTCCTTTCTCTTAGTCTATCCTTAATTCGATACTCCCCCGGGCTTCAACATCCAAAGAGGTTGATGCTAGTCTACTTTCAGTTATTTCCTTCCCAGCCTTTGCAGTAGAGGATAACCAGTTGGTGGAGCTAACAAAACAGGAAATCATCACCAAGCTTCAGGTACGGTCTGTATGTGCTTTTCTTTTCTTTAGGGCTCTGACTTCAAGGGGAAATTAGTAACTTTTGGGGCCTTGAGTATGACTTGTGTCAGTGATTTAACCAAGTGATCAGGGTTAACATCGCCATTTATAAGACATTGACATCATGTGCCTCCTGATACAGGGTGCTGAGAAGTGCACAGCACCTCTGTGGTATCCTTCCCAATAATGCATAACCTCAGTCTAATCATGAGAAAATATCAGATAAAACCAAATTGAGGGATATTCTACAAAATAACTGATGAACAATCTTTAAAAGTGTCAAGGTGATGAAAAACAAGGAAAGACTGAGGAACCGTTACAGACTGGAAGAGACTAAGGAGACATGACAACTAAATGCAGTGGGAACCTGAATTGGATAGTGGAACAGAAAAAAGCCATTAGTGGAAAAACTGGTGAAATCCAAATAAGTTCTGTACTTTGGTTAATAGTGTTGTACCAAGGTTAATTTTTTAGTTTTGCTAAATGTTCTATTGTTATATAAGATGTTAACATAAGGGGTCAGTGGTTGAAGGGTATGTATATAGACTTGCTGTACTGTTTTTGCAACTGTTCTGTAAGTCTCAAGTCTCAAAATATCTCAATTTTTAAAATGTTTTCTTTCTTTTTTTTTTTTTTTTTAAAGCCTATGGTCTCTTATGAGCTGTGTGAGCAGGACCACGTAGATTAGTAATTGGGCTGTCACAGGCTTACTCTATGATGGAAGGCCATGGAGGGGATAATATTAGGAACTTTGCTTTAGAGAAGAGCCTGTAACTTAGCCCTCACTTGAAATCACATTGCTGAAATCAGTTTCTGCTGCTGGGCTGATATCAGGGGTTTTTTAAATTATTTTTTTAAGTATCGTATCTGTATCGGTGATAAGTTGGGGCATGTAGCTGTTGCAAAGGATGTATTTCTGATTGATTATATGGCTGTACCGATGTACATGCTTCTAACCTTTTTTTCTGCATTCCCAGGGTCGTTATGGTTGCTGTCGCTTTCTACGAGATGGATATAAAACCCCTAAAGAGGTAGGTTTCTTTTCTCCAAAATGAGTCCAAGGTAGAATGGTCACTACTCTCTGCAGCCTCATTCAGAGAAAATACTTACCTCACTGATGATACTTAAAATAGTCACTAAATAGGGTAACAATAGCTGATGTTTGCTACCTTTGTTGGGCTTAGTTGCCAAGTTCTGTTTGTGAGCCTTTCAGGATTAAATAAAATACAGGAAAGTGTAGTCCTTCCACCTCTTGCAGTTGGTTAGTTTCAGGAAAGAGCTACTGTTGGATGCTTAAATCAGTGGATGAAAGTTTAAGTGGAAATAGCATATAATTACAAAGGGAAAAAATCTTTCCATCAGTAGATCTTTCTGGCCCCCTTCCACCTTTTGCAGTTGATTAGTTCTAAACAGTACTTGATCTTCAAAAGTTAACTTTATTTTGTTCCACTTGTCAAAAATTTTCCTTGGAAATATCAGTGGAGAAAATTAAGTATTACTAAAGGGAATGAATGATCAATAAGAAGCACTTTCATTGGCAATGTAAACATCTCGTTTAAGGCTTAGGTTTGCTGGTCAAGAGCCATTATAATTTTTTTTTGAATCATTGAGCTCAGAGTCTTCTGGTCTACTTCCTCTCTTCCACTTTATTCTTTATCCCTGTTGACTTCTTCCCCTACCAATCTATTAAAATTATGCTCTGAAACATCATCATAATCACCTAAGTGACAAATCCAATAGCCTTTTCTCAATCTTTATTCTCGTTGACTTTTCTTTAGTACGTCACTGTTACTTACCCCTACGTTTTCTTGAAATTCTTTTCCTATTTTAATTTCCACAACACTACACCATCCTGATTCTTCTCTTTCTGTCCTTCCCTCACCAAACTTTGAGGGTTTACCACGATTCTATTCTTGGGCCATTTGTTCATTATATGTAGGTACTACATTTATAAGTTGTGCTTCATGTGTCACCTCTATGAGGATAATTCCCAAACCCTCATCTCTTGCTGTCCTCGTAAACGTTTCTATTTGTATATTCCGCTGCTACCTCAAATATAAAACCGAACTCAACTTTGTTACAAATTAATCTCATTTCTTCATACGCTTGCCTATAGTGTTATTATTATCTCAGTTCTAGTTAGAAGTCATATCACAAAGTACTTGCTTAGGGAGGGGAGTATGCACATGCTCTGCCTTCTCTGAAACAAACTATCAGTAGTGAAAGGCTATATTGTAATACCCCTGAGCTAAAGATGTGCATCTGACCTTGAAGTGATAAGACAGACTTTGTTTATTGTATTTTTACCAGGATCCCAAACGTCTGTACTATGAACCAGCTGAGCTGAAGTTATTTGAAAACATTGAATGTGAATGGCCATTGTTCTGGACGTACTTTATCCTTGATGGGGTCTTCAGTGGCAATGCAGAACAGGTAATGCACTGGGGAAAGAGCTTTTCAGCAGAATGTTCTTATGTCTTTCTCTTTCAGTTAATGGCAGTGCCGACCCTATGTCCAAATGGAAGTCTTCCCTAATAGGGAGGAGACGGGGTTGTCTTCTAGAGACTAGTATTTGAGAGCACTAGGTTAACAGTTAGAAGACCTGGATATTGCCATCACTCAGACTTGGCTTTTAACAAATATAGAAAGCAAAATAGCAAGCCCTGTCCACTTGCCTCAGTCATTAGAGATACTTGAATTTACCTCCTGACTTCGTATGTCTTTTTTTTTTAATAAATCTTGGAAATGATGTTCTGACTTTAGCCAAAAATAACCCCAAACAACAACAACAACCCATTCCTACCCTGTACTTACCCGAAAAACACGGTCATCATTGCTTTTTGAGCTACATGAATAAAGTAGTTTAGAAACCATCTTGGAAAACAGTGAGACTGGGAAATTTAATCAAGTAAGTTTAGTGTCAGGCATTTTACAAATTGGCTGTGGTCTAAACTTGTACATAAATCTAGTGCATTTGGAAGTCTCTTATACTTGGCTACATAAAATATAATTTTGTGTAATTTGAATGCTTTGGCCAATATTAATCTGTAACTGCCAATATGAATTTAGATAATTGGGTTACACTAAAGTGTCAGGGGCCACAAAATGGTATTTTACTCTAAATTTTAATAAATTATAGAGTATCCTTTTTTGAGCAAGCAAATAAGATAAACAATAGTAGAAACAACCTGCCCTATTTTGACTACTCTGTTTTGATTCTGCCATTTTTCTCAGTCACCAAATTTCACAGAATTGTTTATCGAAAACTTTGCTTCTCAGAGAAAAATTTATTTATCAAATGTGCCTACTAAGTACAAAGCACATTCAGGTTCTTTTGAACTCTGGGGCGGGGAAGAAGAGTTGGAAGACCTGGATTCTTTTTATTCTTTTTTTTTCTGGCTTCACTACTGACCATTATTGGGTAGCCCAAGTATTATCATTGACTTCTTTAGTTTCTCTGTACATACGATGAGAATAGTTTTTCTTTCTTTATTGAAGAAGAAGATATCCCTAAAATTCTTTGAATTTCACAGATAAAGACATGCCATAAGCGCAAGGTACAGTCAGTTTGGCTATAATGAGACATATGTTCCTAAAATATCACCATGCTCTGCATATTCGAGAAGTAAAAACTATAGGGCTTATAGGAAAATGGCATTGGAGCACAACACTTAAAAAGTTTGTCAGGAATACATACAAAATGATAGGAACCTAATAAAAACAGTATCACAGCTTTATACATATTAAATGGTTAAGAAACACATAAAGGGGCCGGCCTGGTGGCATAGTGGTTAAGTTCACACACTCCACTTTGGCGGCCTGAGGTTCGTGAGTTTGCATCCCGGCCACCACCACTCATAAGCCATGCTGTGGCAGCATCCCATATACAAAACAGAGGAAGATTGGCATAGGTGTTAGCTCAGGGACAATCTTCTTCAAGCAAAAAGAGGAAGACTGGCAGCAGATGTTAGCTCAGGAACAATCTCCCTCACCACAAAAAAAAAAAGAAAAGAAAGAAACACATAAATACCACAATAGATGTGGCACTTGTACCTTGAAAAAGGCCAGAAGTTTGCTTATGGATGTGTGCGCTCACGTTCCTGCCAGCTCACCTGCCGGGCTCCTGGGCTCGCCACCCTGTGTGCCAGAGGAAGAGAACAAAAGAGAGATAGCAAAAGGGTGAGAGAAAAGAGAAAAAGAACATAAAACAGAAAGGAAGAATAAAAGATAGGCTGAGAAGAAAGAGGGGGAAATTAAAGAGAAGGGAAGGCACAGAGCCATGCAGTCAGGGTTGCCATGAGAAGGGAGCGGCTTGGGAGTTATTATGAAGAGGTGGAAGGAGGATTACCTGAAATTGGAGGGAAAGTTGTAGCACCACATATGGATGGGTGTGGTTCATTGTCCTCCTAAGGTGTGTACATGTGTGTATTTTGTGTATTCTTACATGGCTCAGTTAGCTGAGTGCGTTCTCAGTTCGAAATTGTGCATAAGTAAATGTGAAATTCATGTTACGCTCAAATCGTTCCCTAATATGGCAGATGCGTTGGAACAAATTTGTGTTTTCAAAACAACTGTTACAGCAGAACTGACTATATTTTTTCCACCATAAATTATAATATTTTTGGTTTTTTTTTTACTTTTTATCTATTATTAATCTACAGCAAATTGTTAAGAAAAAAATGTAAACTTGACTGCAATAGAAACTTAATTTGGCAGGTAAAATACAATTTTAAAAGCCAGTACGTGTAAAGTCAAGAAGCTATACTTACGGTGGTACATAGTGGATAAAAACAGGCCTGTGGAGGCAGGCTGACTTGGGCTCAAATTTGGGTTCATCCTTGCACTTGCTGTGTGATCTTCCACAAGTTCACAACCTCTTCGAACCTTAATTTCCCTGTAAAAAGGCTTTAAACATACCTTCTAGGATAGTTATTAAAATTAAATATGTTAAAGTATGCAAAACTCCTAGCATATATCTGGCCTACAATAAGCATTTAGTAAATGCTACATCCCTTTCTTCTCCTGTTTACTAGGTGAATACGCTCCTTTGCAATAGGACCTTCTTTGGCTACAACCCTCCCCTAGGTCCACAAAGGGAACTCTATAAATTTTTTTCTCCTTTTCTTTTATCTACAGGTTCAAGAATATAGAGAGGCTCTCGAAGCAGTCCTCATCAAGGGCAAAAATGGAGTCCCACTTCTGCCAGAGCTATACAGTGTTCCTCCTGACAAGGTGAGCTGGACAGTCTGGTAACATGAGGATCAGTACCTCGATAGGACTGCCTCGTTTGAGTCAAATAATTTTTAATCTTCTGATTTTAATGTCCTAAAAGTTTGTCTTTATGTATAGGACAATAAAAATATGATTTTATTCCTTTGAAAATAAATTTTTAAAGCAGTCTCAGTTATGGCACTATTGCATAGCCAGACAAGGGCAAGACCAAACCTTATGGTGGTAGTTTCAAGGGTGTATACTTATCCTCAAACTCATCAAGATACATACATTAAATATATATGGCCTTTTTGTATGTCAACCGAACTTCAATTTAAAAAACTAAAATAAACTGTTCAGAGATTGAGTAAAAAAAAAAAAAAAAAAAGACCCACCTTAAGGTTGAGAATGATAGGGAGATCAGCAGTTAGAATTAGAGTGATGTTCTGTATGAACTCTCAGAATTTGGTATTCTCTGCTTTGAGGCCAATAATCTGGGATTATTTGAGTAGATCAGGCTTGGAAAATGAAGTATGTCTCCATTTTCCCAAAATGCCAGTTGGGAGTAATTAGCCAGTAAGAGCATTAGCCAAGGGAGAGATGCAGTCTTCCATTCTGGTGGGGAAGGGTGGATTAAGCTCCTAGCAACATCAGCGGCATCACCTGAGAGCTTGTTAGAAATGCAGATTTCAGGCCTTCCCCCACACCTACTCAGTCAGTAGATATGGATAAGATCCTCAAGTGATTTGTATCCGCATACAGTTAGAGGAGCACTGCCCTAGACTGTAGTCATAACGCTTGACTTTTCAGTGTATTGCATATATGACTGTTTTATAGGGTATGAATCACAATCCAGACTCAGCCTTTTTGTTGACTGGTATCTTAAACCTTCCGTTACCCTTCACGTAGCCTCTTTATCTTTTCTTTTAGGTTGATGAAGAATATCAAAATCCTCACACTGTGGACCGAGTCCCCATGGGCAAGTTGCCTCATATGTGGGGTCAGTCTCTATACATCTTAGGAAGCTTGATGGCAGAGGTAAGGGGAAATTTCAAGGTTCTTTCACGGTTTTTCTGCTGTAGTCACCATAATCAGATTTGTGAGTAGCTCATTAAATCTAAAGGATATGTATTCTGCCTTAATTATAGATTTTCCTCCAAGTCCTTAGAGTGGGAGCATGGCCAATCCTTGACAAAAATCTTTCCCCCGGCAACCATGTCCCCTGTGCTGCCCAGGGCTTCCTACCTTGGCAGTATACTTGGAGCTGCTCTGGGATCAGGCCCTAGATCTTTCCTTTTCAGAACGCCCCCTAGTGCCTTGCCTGGTGACTCATGAATGCAATTGTGCTTAGATAGTAATGACTGATAATGGATTTAAGTGCTAACTCTTCCAAGCAACATAATGTTTTATTCTTTAATTGAATAAACTGATAAGATAATTTTAGGCACCATGACAAGTGGTTGGGAACATCATAGTTTTTTGTTTTTTCATAAGGCGCTCTTTAAATGTTCCTTATATTAAATTCTGTTGAGACAGCTCTTAATGAGGCACCTGGGAATTTCTCCCTTTATGTCTAGCTTATTTGTGACATTTTGAGCCTATAAGAAGGGTTACCTTTCTCATAGTTTTCCAGATTTACTGACAAATCTATTTCCCCATTTTAGATTATTATGGTAAGCTATAACCCAGGCTCCTCGAGGATCTAGGGTGGGACTTAGCTATCCTTTCTGAGCCAGACTCTTTGACCTGTTCATGTATGACTATTTATTTTCTGCAGCTGTTTTTGTTTGTTCTGTTTTGGGTTTTTTCCCCCCAGTTTTATTGAGATATAATTGACATCTATCACTATGAGTTTCAGGTGTACAGCATAAAGGTTTGATTATCTTTAGTAGACATTATTATGAATGTAGCAGTAATGGGCAGAATGATTTGTTTAAAGTAATCCATACCCAGTGACTTTCTCATTCAATTAGAGTAAATCAAATGCTATGAAAAAAAGAGGAAATGAATGGTATTTTTAAGGGCAAAATGGATGAGTTCATCCCATTTCATCAAGGACAGAAACTCAAGTCAAGTCAAAAGATGTCTGCTGAGCAGAAAGCATAGCAGACGAACGTGAATAAATGAGAAAGCAATAGGACTAATAACCTAAATTATTGATAATAAGCGTTGTGGTCTAATCACGTACATCCAGAGAAGGTGGAGATGTAATGAAAAACTTTCTGGTTATCATTTATTTCCAAAAAAGGATATGTGGCAGCCACTAGAAATTATCTCCAAATAAAATCAATTTGTATGTGAATTCAAGAGTTCAAACATTTTCATGCAGTGAAGGTATTTGTTTCCATACCTGCTTCTCACATGTTATGGTGCAGATTATGGTATTGATATGTTGTTTCTCCTCAAACATTAGCTTCTTTTTTTTGTGAGATCTAATCATTTGTAATTTGTCTTTTTATGGTTTTTCTTTAGGGATTTTTAGCTCCTGGAGAAATCGATCCCCTGAATCGTAGATTTTCTACTGTACCAAAGCCAGATGTTGTGGTTCAAGGTATGTATTCTTATTCTCAGCAGCAGAAACTTTCAAGATCCGGTTTGGGCCAGTAAATGATGACTTTATTCTTTATCATGCATTTTGTTAGGCTTCAAAAAGTATAGAATGGGGCCAGCCCTGTGGCGTAACGGTTAAGTGTGCGTGCTCCGCTGCTGGCAGCCCGGGTTCAGAACCCTGGCCGCGCACCGAGGCACCGCTTGTCAGGCCATGCCGTGGTGGTGTCCCATATAAAGTGGAGGAAGATAGGCACAGATGTTAGCCCAGGGCCAGTCTTCCTCAGCAAAAAAAGAGGAGAGTTGGCATGGATGTTATCTCAGGGCTGATCTTCCTCACACACACACAAAAAAAACAATGTAGAATGAACTTGATTCTGATTGGTTTCAACACTGCTATTAATCATGAGCAAATGCTTAATAAATATGATATTTGACACTCTTAACCACTCTTTACTTCTAGAAACTCTTTTCTTTTCATCATCATGGTATTGTAGCCTCCTGATTATCTCTGCTTTCCTTCTGAGCTTTTTCTGCTAGTACTCCTGTTTTATCATATCATCATAATAGTTGTGTACTTAATCTTATACCCTTGTTTTTCTGTATTTACAACCCTGTATTAGTTTGCTAGGGCTGCTTCCTTCGTAATAAATTTGCTTCCATGGCTCCAACTATTACCTCTTTGGAGAGTACTCCAAACCTTTATTTTTTGTTCCTAACAATCAACTTAAATTTTGAAGTATCTACTCTATGCAAAACCCTGGGCTAAGCTCTATAAACACATTAAGATTTCTAGTCCCAATACCTATAAAACACTTATACTTCAAATGCAAAACTGACCTCTTTTGTCTCTATCCCATCCTTTTACCTCTCCCAAGAAAAGCAGATCTTTCCACCTTCCTTGTCTCTCTCAATGACATCACTATTATCCTAGTCTTCTAGGGTAGAAAGCTCAAGGTGATTTTTGACTATCCAACAGCACTGTTCAATATGGTACTAAGTCCTTCTGTGACGCTCCTCAGAAATGTCTCCAGTCACTTGACTTTGAGGTTGGTTCTATATGGAAAATAATCCTATGTGTTTTCTAAACCTACTTATAGTTGGCATCCTATGTGGTCATACAGATAGTCTTTGCTTATCAATGTATATGGCAAACATTATATAAAAGGCCATTACTCTTCACCTTCCATGAGAAAGCTTGTTCTCCTTTGAGGCTTATGCCATCTGGCTATATTGATCTCCTGGTTGCTCTAATTCATTCATTGAAGACTTTGAGGCTTGGCTCACAGCCTTCCTCTTCTTCCCCAACTCCTGCCATAGTGCTAGATTTCAGCATTGGAGTAAGTGCCATCTAAAATTTTAGCCTCAAAATTCTTGGATATCCATACCCTAATGACCTTTCCCTCCACCTCTACTTTAGCCACTCACCTTGAGGACCAAACTTTAGAACTATTCCACCTCAGATATCTTCCATTCCAAAAAATCCCAATCTCTGGTCATAGTTACATATTATTGCAGTTTTCTTTTCCCCCCCATTACACTTGTCTCTATTTTCTCCTAGGCTGCCCTTCCCTACCTCTTTTGGTCGATCATCTAAATAATCTTAATCACCAGTGTACCATACTTCTACTACACCCACTAGAAAAATCATCGCCCCAGATCAATCTTACTGTCCGCATTTTCTGATCTTGTACCTGGCCTGCTACAATCTACTTGGAAAAAACACAAATAAGCAGAGTGGTCGCACTGTAAATCCATGGTGTCCAACTCAGCTAGGCCCACAGTGCCTCCTGTTAGTCCTTGTTCTTATCGTTAGTCTGCATTTTCATTCTTCTCAGCCACTATTCCAAACCATCTCTGTTTTCAACCCCATCCCTTGTTTCCGCCTCATTTTTGGCCTGCTACTTCATGCTGGATAATCTTAATATTCTGATCTTTTTCAGTTTCCCAACCCCCAACCACAGTCTTATTTATGTCTTCACCCATCCCTGCCTCCTTTTCTCCAGTCTCAGGAAAGACTGGAGACTTCTCCTCTTCAAGGAGAAGACTTGTTCCAGTCTCAGGAAAGACTGTTTCTTCTCCTCTTCAAGGCCAACTCCTCCTCCTGATGATTGATCCCATCCTTTTCCCCAGCCTTCCTAGAAACCTACTCTTCCCTGTAATCTTCAAAGTCTTCCTCTCTGTTGGTTCTGTTTTGTAGTCCATTGACATATTCATCTCCCTCTAGTTATCCTATCCTTGCGTTCTCATCCAAACTTCCACTTCTTTATATTCCACTCATTCTGCAGTCCTTTACAGTCTAGGTTATTATTCCTCTGAAAATGCTTTAGTTTAAGTCATTGCCAACTCAGTAGATATTTTTCAATCCATATCTTAGGGGATCTTTCTGTTTCATTTATTGTTCATCTTTCTGGAAACTCTTAACTATGATGTTTTCTGTGATGCCATACTCTATTGAATCTCCTTCAACCTTTTGCACTTTTCTGTCTCATTCTGGGCTTCCTCTTGTTCTCTTTGCCCCTTAACTGTTGGTGTTCCTGGGAGTTCTCTCCATAGTCCACTGCTCTTCTTACTCGGAATATTTGATCTTGTCTCTCAGCCTCCTATTACAAACCTTTTCCCTTTTCCTAACTCCTTGCTTCTTCCCTCTCAGAAGATGACCTCACCTCCTATACCATAGAGAAAATATAAGCCATGAGACAAGAATCCTCACTCCCACCTCCAGGCTTTTCTTCATCTGCCCATTTCTTATATGTGGAAATTTCTCAAGGTTATATTTTAGGTCATCTTATCTTCTCCCTCCTTGAGGAAGAGACTAACTTATTCGTCTCTATATTCCTAGTGCCTAGCATAGTGCCTTATCTATTTAGGTGCTTAGTAAATGTTTATTAATGAATGAATAGATGACCACATGTGTTTCCTTGGACTTTTCTTAGCTCACTATCATTCTTCCTCTGTGCATTTTCTCTGGAGAATCTTTGTCATTTTAATGTTTTCAGTTAGAAATAATCAAGATGACGTTATGTCCAGGGGACTTGTAATCACCATATCCTGCATATCCTATGCTGCAGACCACAGCAACACAACACTACGAGGTTCCTAAGATAGAAAAGTACACAAAAGATAATGGCAAAGGGAAGCAAAGTAGCACTTTGTTAACTACAGTTTTGCCCCAAAAACTCAACATAGAGAATGCTGGTAAGCTGGAATGAACCAAGTGATACCTTCATTTTCCTGTAAACCCAATTCAGCACATCTGCCAGCACTAGAGGAGCAAGAATAGGGCACATGTTTGCCCCTAGTGCTTAGTGTCAAGCCAGCTGAGGCCGTACTCAGATTATTGGCCCCAGCCAGGTATCTGTCCCATAGAGGGCGAGTAGATGGAAGAGTCGGGGAATTGGCCTGGCCTCCTCCCTTATGAGTTTGATTATCACTTCAGAGACATGAGTGTAAGAGGAAGAAAAGAGAGCTGTCCAGGCTTGGCAGCCCTGAATCTAGAGAACTGTTATCCCCATCTTCCTACCCCCCCAAAACAACCACACACAATTTCAACTGTGGTACCTCAATTCTTTATCCCCAATTTACCTTGCCTTCTACCATTCTCTAGCTATAGAGCAATTCTTATCATTAGGGTGTTCTTTATTGCCCTCATAATCCTGGCCCTGGTCTTAAGGGTACAGATATAAAAGAGCCTTGGGGAATCAACTTATAAAAGCTGTAACACACCTCATGTTGGCTTTTTTTTCCCTATTTAAACATGGAATCCCAGATATAAAGAGAGTATGGCATTCTCTAGGAGCACGTAGGTACTTAGCCAGAAAGCAGAATCTAATACTCTGGTCATGAGATCTTTTTTCCTTTTCCATTTAGATATTGTTATATACCTAGCATGATAATTGTCATCAAGGTTCCTCAATAACTGTTAATTTCCTCCCCTTTCCTGTCTCTTTCCTTCAAAAGAAATTATGTGGCTTGAGAGATTACTAGGTTCCTATTGAAATAAAATTTTCTGTTGACCTCATTTTCTTTCTTTCCTGTAGTTTCCATTCTAGCCGAGACAGAAGAAATCAAGGCCATTTTGAAGGACAAGGGAATTGATGTGGAGACCATTGCCGAGGTGTATCCCATCAGAGTACAACCAGCTCGTATTCTCAGCCACATTTATTCCAGCCTAGGTAAGGAGATTGGGCAGCGTGCTAGAATGAAAGCATTATTTGATACAGGCTGGTTTCTTTCCTTTTTGTTTTTTCTTAATCTTATATTGCTTTATTAAACTGGATCTGAGAAGAAATTTACAGTCTCTGAAATATAAATTTATAACCCTATATATCCTGAGCAGGCTTGATAATTTTAGGTGTGTTTTATGCACTCTTTGGTACATAGGGCATGGCTGTTACCAGGCAATATTTTATCCTCATTCCAAGTGTGTGCTTAACTAACATGTTCTCCCCTTGGGACCTATATTTCCATTTTGAATACATGCTAATTTTATGTAAAGTAATAGCCAAGGAACTTGTTTTTAGGTCTTTTATACTTTGCCATGTAATGAATTGGTTGACAATATAAAAAATTCCACTTCTTAGTCTAATACTTACTTTTAATTAGTACTTATTTTTTATTCGATTTATATATTAAACTTAGGGATGGGCACATTAAAAAATTACTACAAATTACAAATTTACACAAGTTATTACAAATTTCACATTAAACAAATTCCTACACTGTTCACTAAAAAAAAAAAGGGTATGCAAAATTTCTAAACTACCCTGTGTAAGGCTGAATAATGGTCCCCAAGATATCCAGGTCCTAATTCCTGGAACCTGTGAGCATTACCTTAGATGACAAAAGAGACTTTGCAAGTATGATTAAATTAAGGAATTTGAGATGAGGAGGATTAGCCTGGATTATCCAGGTGGACCCTAAATGTAATCACAAGTGTCCTTATAAAAGGAAAGCAGGAGGATATCAGAGTATAGAAGTAGATGTGATGACAGAAACAAGAGATTAGAGTGATGCAGCTATGAGCCAAAGGTTTCCAAGGAATGCCCACAGCCTCTAGAGATTGGAATTAGCAAGGAATTGGATTCTCCCCTGTAGCTTCCAGAAGCAACCAGCCCTGCTGCCACCTTGATTTTGTTTTTAGTCCTATAAGAGTCATTTTGGACTTCTGACCTCCAGAACTATAAGAGAATTGATATGTGTTGTTTTAAGCCACTAAGTTTGTGGTAATTTGTTACAGAAGAAATAGGAAAGTAATACAGATTTTGGTACTGGGAAGTAGAGTGATGCTATCACAAATATCTAAAAATGTGGAAGTGGCTTTGGAATCAGGTAATAGATAGAGGCTGGAAGAATTTTGAGTCACATGATAGAAAAAGTCTAGATTGCCTTAAACAAACTATTGGTAGAAATATGGATGCTAAAGGCATTGCTGGTGAGAGCTCAGAAGGAAATGAGGAACATGTTATTGGAAACCGGAGGAAAAGGATCCTTGTTATTTAGTGACAGAAAGCTTAGCTGAATTGTTTCCTATAGTTATGTGGAAAACAGAACTATAAATGATGAACTTGGATATTTAGCTGAGGAGATTTTCAAGCAAAGTGTTAAAATCATGACCTGCTTTTTTCTTGCTGCTTATAGTAAAATGTGAGAGGAAAGAGAGAAATTGAGGGAAGAACAGTTAAGCAAAAAGGAACCAGGACTTGATAAAATTCCAACCTATCCAGATTGGAAAAGATGATAAAATTAGGAGATTTGCTGCCAGGAAAGCATGTTCTGGAAAAAAAGATCAAGGATGTGGCTGGACAACCTTTTGCTAGTGCTTTGGAAAGATCAAAAGATCAGAGTATTCATTCACACAGGGGTCTTTGAAGAGATTAGGCATGTGACTCATGGATCTCTTCAACGATCTCAACAGAATTTAGGAATAGAGTTGAGATTATCCAGGAAAGATCTTGGGGAGGACCCTCTTGTCTAATGATGTGAACCCCCATGACGTATATGCAAGACCCACAAGATTTTTGAGAATGCAGAAACACTGCCAACTTGGACTGAAAGGGACAGAAAGAGGACACAATGAAAGAAGGGTGTTAGACTTCCAAAATTCCAGTCAAGAAGCAGGCTGATAAAACTACTCAGCTACAGGGGCTGGCCCGGTGGCGCAAGCAGTTAAGTGCACGCACTCCGCTGCAGCAGCCCGGCGTTCGCCGGTTCGGATCCCGGGCATGCACCGACGCACCGCTTGGCAAGCCATGCTGTGGCGGCGTCCCATATAAAGTGGAGGAAGATGGGCACAGATGTTAGCCCAGGGCCGTCTTCCTCAGCAAAAAAAGAGGTGGATTGGCAGATGTTAGCACAGGGCTGATCTTCCTCACAAAAAAAAAAAAAACTACTCAGCTACAAGTAAGTGCTACCCTTCAAGAAAAAAGAAGGATGACTTCAAAGGTGGGGCCTTGGGCCCAGAGGGAGGTGCCTTGGGCTCAGAGGGCATAGCCTAAAGCCATAGAGGATTACTACCATGCCTTGAAACCTAATGGAGTTTGCTTGGATTTCAAAATTGCTTGGGGCCGCTGACTCCTTTCTTCCTTCCATTTTATCCCTTTTGGAATGAGAATGTCTGTAACTTGTATTCTATGTCTGTATTTTGAGAGCAGATAACTTGTTTTCTAGTTTCAAAGGTGCACAGATGGAGAGGAATTTTGCCTTAGGATGGATCATACTCAGATTCTCACCCATACCTGATTTAGATGATGGAACTTTTGGGCTAATGATATTTAGAAGAGATTTTGGACTTGAGTTGATGTGGTACTGTGTTGAGAGTTTGGAGGATGTTGGGATGGGGTGAATGCACTTTGCATATGGGAGGGATGTGAATCTTTAGGGGCCAGAGGGTGGACTGTAGAAGGCTGAATATCCAGGCCCTAATCCCTGGAACCTGTGAACGTTACCTTATATAGCAAAAGGGACTTTGCAGATGTGATTAAATTAAGGAGATTGAGATGGGGAGGATTATTTTTAATTATCCAGGTGGGCCCTAAATGTAATCACAGGTATCCTTATAAGAGGGAGCCAGAGGGAGATCTGCCTATAAAAGTAGGAGATGCAATGACAGACGCAAGAGATTGAAGTAATAAGGCTACTAGCCTTATCCTCTAGAAGTTGGAAGAGGCAAGGAACGGATTCTCCCCTGGAGCCTCCAGAAGGAACCAGCCCTGCTGACACCTTGATTTTACCTCATAGTAGCCATAAGGCTCATTTTGCACTTCTGACCTCCAGAACTGTAAAAGTATAAATATGTGTTGTTTTAAGCCACTAAGTTTGTGGTAATTTGTTATAGCCCCAATGGGGAATTAATACAATCTTAAATCAAGCCACAAAAGGATAAATTTATAAATAAAGATTGTATCTTAGAGAGTAGATTGCCACTTACAAACCCAAAGCCTACTTTGTGTGTGTGTGTGTGTGTGTGTGTGTGTGTGTACTTTTTTTCTTCACCAGGAATGGTCTGTCAGTAATTACAGCCAAGCCAAATCTTGTCCAGCTCAAAACCAACCTCCTTTCCTTTTTACTAACACCAACTCCAGACACTCAATTTCTATGGCAGTTATGTAGGCCTAAATTGAGAGGGAATCAACCAAAGAGGAAAGGACCAACAGTCAGAGCTGATTTTTCTCTGTCTCTGCTAAGCACCCATATTTTATGCCAGCAAGGCCTGAACTCCCAGAGCCATTAACATTGCATCTGGCTTTAGGAATATACGGATCTCCCCCCTCTCTTCCATCTTAGCTATAATGTAGAAAATATCTTTTCTTCTTAATTCAAGTGTAAGATTGGAATTTTCTAAAGAAACTTTACTGAAAAAATGGAAAACTAAAATATAAACACATAGAAATAAATCAAGTTTATTGAATATAGGTCTCAGATCCTAATTAATTTCTAAAATATAGCCATGAATTAGCTTGAATATTACAAAATACTGAGCCTCTGGCTCCCTCCCCTTGCTCAACCCTATCTGAGATAAATGCCAAGTCAAGACTCTGAAACTTCTGAGATTGGTTGAGTTGATGCTTTACTAGGTGGGATGGGTACCTCAGTCCTTCCCAGAACCTGCTTCCTGTTTTTTATCTCCTGGGCCTTTCCCTCTAGCCTCTGACTATAATGTGCTCCTGATCTCCGGATACCAGTCCACTAGCACTAAATCCCTTCACAAAAGGAAGGTATTTCTCTATCTAGCCCAAATCTTACTCCTTGAGTATTAGTTGATCTTGTAGTCACCTTCTTTGCCCCTCTTAGAAGTCTCTATGGTTGGGGTTCATGCAAGTCCTATTGGTGCCTTTGACCTGATTTTCTCTGGCTGTCACTCAGAAGTTGATAGGTTAATTTTGCCCTTTGCTTCTTCACATTCATTGTTCTAAACTCAGCATAATCTTACTAGGATTTAGGTAACTTCCAAGCTCTGGGTGATAATTCCTGGAATCTACCTACATCACATCAGATCTGTCCAACAAACAGAAGCAAACTCCTTACTGGTTACTTTTTCAAAGCCTACGCTCTGTCTTGGGCCTCCTACTAAGTTATTATTTCCTAGCCAAAGGAAATAAGGACTGATGGGTCTTGAGTTTAATGAATGATCAAACATTTCAGGGACTCAAGTAACAAACTACATTTATTTTCCTTCCAAATATGCTCCTACATTCACTTCATTCATTCATTCTTTCATAAGGATCTATTGTTCACTTATTATGTACTAGGCACTGGGCTAGATGCTGTGGGAGACATAGACATATAACCAAATAGTTATAGTGCAATCTTATAAATGCTATAACAGTGGTATTCTGTACAAAGTACAGGAGAAAGAGGACAGATTTGCCTGGGAAAGTCAAGAAAGGCATGATTTGCTGACTTATCAAGTGAGTGACTCTTCAGAATTCTATTATCGCAACAATTTCACAATAACAAAATTGCTTTTAAGCATACATTGAATGACAGCTGTAATTCCACCAAGGGAAAAAGGATGTTTCTTTACCAGGTGTGTTCATTTATATATGTTAACTAAATGGTATTCTCTGCCTCACCTCAAACACTCAATAATTTCATGTATTTAAGATCCATAATATCTTTTTAAATTTTTTTTAAATCATGAGGTTAATCAACTTTGGGAACATAAGAACTTTAT